TCACTATATCAGAGTAACCTGCTATTTGCAGCCCTATCAACAACATCTAATTATTTCACAGAAAAACTTGCATCCCCAAAACACATATTATTTATTTAACTACAACTAGATTTTACTAACAAAAAACGCTTATAGACAATTTACACATCACCTTAGGGTTAACAGCCTTACAATCTAAACTTAATCTATATAAACAAACGAAAGACCAGAAACCACTAATAATAACATAAGCAATAACACAATCTTTCACATTAGTGAAACAAAGTAATCATAACGAATTCGTGGAAAAACTGCGCGAACAAAAATCAAAAAAAAGGTGTGTATAAAAAAAAATAACATCTCTAGCTTTACACCCCAAAAAATGATTGAAATAAATCAACCAAAAAAGACCATTATTGCATATTCACAAGCAAATATAATTGCAAAAGACAAACCATAATAATCAGTTTTAAACCCGCTGACCAGATCACTTTCAGACTCAGAAAAATCAAAAGGAGAACGCTGACACCCACACAAAATAGAAATCAACACTATGGGGTAGGCTAATGCTCCACCCAATATTATAAAACCAAACTCTAATCTAAATATACACACACCATATTTACCAATTAACAATCCAACTAACATAACCAAACACATCAACACACCCTCAAATGTAACCCTACTAAACGCAGCACGAATTGCACCAAACAATGAATACTTTGTATTACTACCCCAACCACATAATAAAAACCCATAACCGCACAACCTAGAAAACACAATCAATCAACCAAGTGATGTATAACTTTTCAAAAAAAGAAATTTGTGATTCAAAAAAAAACCAATAAAAATAAAACATGATAAAACAAACATAAACAAACTTAAGTTATAGACCAATCCACGATAACCCAACCCTATATAATAACTTTTTATTACCCCAATCTTGCCAAATAACTTTAAAAAATCAGCCAATCTCTGTAAAACCCCCATCAGTGAAACCTTTTTGGGCCCAACACGAGATTGAGAATATCCTAAAATCTTTCGTTCTATTAAAACAAAAAAAAAAACTAATAAAAAAAACAATAAACCAGAAATTACTAACAACAATCACCATAAATAACTAACAACAATCATAACACACACCAATATAAAAAAATAATACCATTGACTCGACAAATCAATATTCAACAATAAACTAGGTGTGTAACAACAAGAAAATTTTCCACCACTAATACGCAAAATTAAAATTCTATGCTTAAACTATGTTGTTTTCATAACAATGAGAGACACCACTCTATCCTTTATGTGTAAAATAAACATTTTAATTAAACTACCTTGTTAAAACCTATACCAAACGACTAGAGACACCCTCAATATAAAATTTAATCCCACCAAAAAAACTATTACCAATTATTAAATACATATATACTTGTTCAACAATAGAATAAACCCACCAAAATAAAAAAACCCACCAACCCCAATACAGGTTGGAAAACACAAATACACTTCAAACCTTATAAATTATGGAATAGCTCCACGGTAGAGGCATTAACAAAAAAACCAACAAAGCTTGTTGGTTTTTTGTAGTATGATTAGTTTTTCTACAACGCAAAAACACAAAAAAATAAACTAACATAAATAAAAATATTCACCCAAGGAAAACATATACAACAAAGTTAAAACCACCACCCATACAACCAAACAAAAATATTAAACTCGAAGACCTTAAACTAGAACTAATTATCAATACAACTCACCTAATACATCCACAAACCAATTTTGCAGCAGAATAGAGGAGAGTTCCTAAGAACAAAAAAAAA